GCGGTGTCTTGAACTCGGTAATGTCGTAGGTGCGTTAGGCCCAAGGAACTGCGCGGATCACTTCCCCCTGCGGCCGGCGTTCAGCCTACCTCCCGCTAGATACGACATAATATAAGCATAGTTTATGTAGATTGAAAATTCAGAAGCCACAGCTGCAGAATACAGGCAGATACCATAGCTCATGCGCATATGGCTTCTGCGTTTTGCTCATGGCTCCTGCAATTTTATGTGCTTCCACCTCTAAGGTATATCGAATTCAAGCTTGATTCATAAGAATCGACTTAAAAATTCTCTAGCGGCGCTTTCTGCCAAGCGTAGAGAACCTTCTTTTCCGGCAGCGGTGGTAATACGATGTAAGGATACGAAATCTCTCCAGATAAACATGAAGCAAATGACTCAATATATATTATATAAGTATATACCTAATTTACCTAAATAGAAATCTTCCTCCTGACCGATAAGTCTATCGACCTAATTTCGAAATACGCACGCGATATCGAAACTGGCGATACCTGCGCCGCCAGCGTCGAAAAAGTGAAAGTAACGTTTCTGATTATGACGTCATCATATAACGTCGGCGTTATATTTTTTATATTAAATAATTTTTATATTAAAATTTATTTAATATATTAAAAATTAGTATTTTATATTAAATACTCTAATTTTTATATTAAGTAATACCAATTTTTACAGACATTGTAAAATATTATATACTTGTATATATTGTATATGTATATCAAAAATATATATTGTAATATTAATTGTATATTAATATTACAAATTAATATGAAAATAATGTAGTATTAATTGTATAATATTAATTGTGTAAATGTAATCGGATGTGTGTATAATAAGACGGAAATCATGACGCGTTTGGTAAACCGTTTACTTTTTAAAACTTTAGAAGTTTTTATTTACTAAAAGATTGTTAATAAATTCGGGAGATCTTTTATTCAAAATTTTGTATTAGAAATTATTACTATTAGTACAAGTAATATAATTTATTGAATAAAAGTGTGAAAAGGTTCGATGTTAAAACAATGATCATTTACCTGTAAAATTTTTGCTCACAAAAGTCGACATTCGCATCTTACAATTAGATATGAAATAACAAGTCAAATTAACATAGTTTTGCGAAATTTCGGATTTCAGATTATCATCCGTTATAAAATTCAGAATTTAAAACGTCATATTTTATGTTGTTCTCGATGAAATATTTTTGCGAATTTCGTATTATATTAAATATTTATATTAAACAAATTCTCTTAAATTACGTTTGAAAATTTGCTCGTGATTTTTTGAAACTTGTAAAGTCTATCTCGTTGTTGAAAGTAAAACGGGAATTAAATTGAAAATAAAATAGAATAAATGATAAAAATGTAAAAAAAAAACGTATTCTAAAGAAAAGAGGACCGCTGATCTCAATCCGCGGGGGTAGTGGTGGGCCTCTATTTCTGTCGGATGTAATCCGATAAAACAGGTCACGTGTATCAGAGAATATTTAAAGATTTTAAATTTTAATTTATATATATCTATGTATATAAAGGATTTAAGGATCGAGTTAAATAGTGAGTATAATATTAAAGCTAACTAGTAACGCGCGTCTCTGATTGTGATATCTAGTATGGACATATTTCATATGTATATAACTTTATACATTTATTACTTGTTGCAAATGGTATACAATATTATAAGAAAGTTACATTACAAAATTGGAAATATAATGTACAATATGCAATAATCAATAAAATTATATATAATATTTTTTTTACATAAAATTATTTAATCAATTAATTTAATCAATTTTTTTTAAATACAAAAATGTTTAATTAGGTTTACTTCTTTTTCCCAATTAATTGTTAAGTATTAAAGTTTTTTTTACAATAATTATTATTTTCATTTTTAATTGTTTAAATAAATAGTAAATATTTTTCTCCAAAGTGTCCGGCCACTGAGACGTTTACCTTATTGGGATAAGAAGATTCTATTCCTGCAGAGCTCGAGGCAGAAAGTTCCCGTCTTGAGGAGATGTCGTGACAAGCGAGCTGGTACGCACGGTTATAGTGGACATTTCCGCTGTTAAAAGGAAAAATATATTTAGTCAATCGTTAAAACAGAAAGAGAAAGGAGAGAGCTTACCTCAAGGTCTGCAGCAGTCAGAGAAGTACAAAAATTAATTATTCAAATCTTGTTCTTTTTTATGTAGAGGGTTGGCAAATGTCATCTTCCGCCAGGCAAAAAGGCTTGATGTTACTGCAACTGAATCTGTACCAACTGAATATTTTTGGTTGCTACAATCGAGTTGTTTGTTCCGTTTGTTCGAGTTGTTTGTTCCGTGGAAGATTCCATTGTGTTTCTATATGGCTTAATACACATTTTATATAACAAAATGTAGGGCATCTCGAACATCAAAGATAATAGGTAGGAACAAAGGTACGTGATTATAATGTATCCCAATGTCATAGTAATCTAGAACCAAAAGTTAAAAAAAATTAATGCATTTTTTACAATATTCCTCTGTTAATGCTAAAATTTCAAATATTTGTATACTTACACGGGGCAGAAATTCAAAATGAATCGACGTTTCACTAAATAGTTGAATTGCTTGTATGATGACCGGATTTATAAGATAAGCGCAGTATGTGAGCCTGCTAAGAGGAATCCAACCCTTGAACGAGAATAATTGATTACCGATGCCTATAACAAAGCAAGTTAAAACATATCACTAACATATTAAAAATATGCCGATTTTTATAAGATGTATTTATGATTAATGAATAAACGAACCTCCGCCGTGTTTACTGGAGCATGCTATTACAACACATGCAATACATATGGCCCAAAGTGTTCTGTTCAGTGCTACATAAACAGAAGTAGCTAGAACGGATATGTATCGGTTGTAGGACAACAGTAATACGAATCCTCCGCAAATAATAGTTAGGCACCAACACAAAATTATATGTTTCTGAAATGTATGTCAAATTAATATAATACATTTTTATTTATGCGATACTATATAATTAATTCATATGAAACTAGTTAGTTTCTATAGAATAAAAGTTTATATATTCCCTAAGTATTTTAATGACTATTTATTTTCAATATGTTATAAAAACAAAGAAATATACTTTACCTTTTTTAAAACAAAATTATTCTTTAATTTTGCCAAAATGTGACCCGTGATTATTCCAATAATAAATGGATTCATTCTCATCCATGGTTTGATATAGAAGATATCTGCAAGATTCTCCTGTTCATCAAATCTGTAACAATAAGAATCCTCTTAACTTCCTCTTAACTTCATTTCTCAATAAGTAAAACACTTTAGTAACTTACGTTTCGACATATTCGTATTTGACGTATGAAAGATAACCATTAAGAATAATTGAGCCTATTAAAAGTAGACTCAATATAGCGGCATAGAAGTATCTGAAATTTATAATATATTTATTCAAGTATACTCAAAGAAGACATTAATTATAATAGTTGGTTAATTAACATACCTAGTTGAGAAAATTAATAAAGCCATAGCGATGACATAGAATTGCATATCATTGGATAGATACCAACTCCAACTCATGCACTGTAATGCAATAAAAATTTTATAAAAGTTTTATGCGTTTCCAAGTATAATTTCAAATTGATCGTAATCAAACGTGTTCGTACCATTGCATCCCATCCAAAGAAATTATGTATGTACAAAAGACTTCTCCACCAATATTTCGCACAAGTTTCGTGCGACCTTTCGTACATGTAAAATTGTGATGTTTTTTCGGCCCAAATCGACCTTACCAGCTCTATTAGTAACACCGTCATGTAAGCCGGTGTCAGCCTTAAAATGAAAAATTTTATTACAGACGCGTATAAAAAAAAGAGAGTTAGTATTTAGCTTACATTGAAATCAATATTCAAATTTCTTTGTAACAATGTAATAAAAACTTACCGAAAAAATCTTTTTAATACGTGATCTTTTAATTCAATTAATTTTTCTTTGCGACCAATCGGTACTTCGTTCCTTTTAGCTCGCAAATATATATAATTCATTAACATTAAGCATCCGCTTGAATGAAAAAATATATCAACTGCTAGTAATCCCATGTCACCTATGATTTTATTATTCTCAGTGAACCTCCACAGCCGTACTTTATTATCTGTCAATACAAATAAGCAATTTTTGTTATGCGTAAAGAGTAAAAAAACAAAAGAGCTAAAAATGTCTATTCTCTAGAGATTTATTATAAATTACTTACCGAGAGAATTAAATGTATAATATACACCATGGAACAAGATTATCGAACACATGCCTAGAACTTTTAAGCAGTGAAAAACGGGTATTGTGCCGGCGTCCAACTTTGTGCTAAATATTTTTTTTGTATTTGTGTAAGCGGAAAAACATATTAATATTTCTCCAATTTTATTTTTCCGATATGCTGCAGATACGTTTACCACGTTACGTTTTTGATATATAAATATATCATATATTGTTCCGATTAATGTTATGAGGAAAGAAAATCCTATTAAGCCAGCACTGCAAATAGAATATTTGTCTGTTGAAGCTTTATATTCTTTCGGAGGATTAAGATTAAAATTACTTATAATATTATTAATCTTTTCTGTCATATAATACGTACCAGATGTAATACACTCTATGAGGTAGCTTTTTGTTATCGTCATTTAGATCTTTAACCTCGATGAGCTGAAAGTCCGCGGGATAGAGATCATTGAAGATAACTCTGTCACGACATATTTCCTCCAAAATTAAGCTTAGATTATTTGTAGTGCATGATTTTGGTAAACAGAGTCCGAGCGTAATCACATCCTAAGATAAAATTTTATGTATATATTTAAATATCAAACACATTCTTTATCACATAAAGATTTTACAAACTTACCTCGTCAAACATATTTACGTGATATTGAATCGTACTGTTGTGTCTCAAATAAGCTACAAAATAATTTATTTGGAAAGGTGGAAATTCCTTTCGCGGATCGCGATAATGCGTGTTATTTAGTATTTTGTGCTGTGAGATCTGTAGAGGAGCCTTATTCATCGTATCGAGACACTGACTACGACTGCCCAGCCAATAATTATTTCCGTAAAGGAAACCCGGTTTAAAGCCACCACTGGAATCTAATACTAAAAATAAAAATTACAATGTTACTACGTATGCAAAAGCAATAAATGACTAATTTTTACTTATAATTAATTAATCACGCATTGTTGCTTTCTCATTACAAGAAGCTATTTTCGTAAACAAATTTTTTCTTAGTTTTCTGTACCAATGTGTTCAGAATGTTCTAAAATTACATTTTTACAAAATGTGTGTGTTTAGATATCGGACTCAATTTTTTTTAAATGCTGAGTATTATTATTATAAATAAAAGTTGGTATTTAATTATGGTAAGAATCGATGAAGGAGTTTATTTTTTATAAAATTTTGAAATTTTTGAGAAATGTCTGGTAGCTATTAGCTATAACTTGCGCAAATTTTGAGATATCGCGCTAATTCTATTATATTCTTTATTCTTTTCTACCTCTATTTCATATATAGTACTTTAAGATTTGATTAGATTTAGCTTTATACGCGATCAAAGGTCCATATGCGAAGTTCATATTGGACCATGTAGCCTGAACTCCCAAAGTCAACATCGATTTGACATTGCGCGTCGATTGTGAAACCCCACTTGGGCTACTAAGCTAACCAACTAACTAGTTGGTGTATTGAAAATACCAATACGTAAATATGGTTTTAGCCATCGCTTGTTATTTATTAAAAAGTTATTAACAAATGTAATTAAGAAATATAACAGTTTGTGACAATACTAAGAGAAGTAATTTGCTGATATGTGTACTTATTTGAAATGCATCAATGCAGTTTTGCTAAATATCATTTGCCTAACAGCGGCTCAGTTAAATAACATTTGCCTAGGAAAGTAGCATTTGAACACAAAAATAGATGGGCAAAAAGCCATTTGACTAAGCAGATAGCATTTGTCTAGTCAAAAGCTATTTTCCTAAAATAACTTATTGTTAGCTACGACATATATATATGTATATAGCATATATATACAGGGTGTCCGAAAAATCGCCTACTCCACTTCGGGAGGTGATTCGGGACCCAAAAACAAGCAAAAAAGTTCATACAAACATAGGTCTGGAAATGAGCCGTTTCCGAGTTATAGCCACTTTTATGTTCAAAAATCGTAATTTAGAATCCGCTTGACATCCCTCTTTCTTAATTATTTCTTAAATTAAAAATTTTTATTTTTAAATATCAGTTAATTCATTAAAACTTAAACGATCCATTGATGAATACGGAAAGATTAGATACAATCTAAAAGTAAGGTGTTGTTAAATAATAATTTGAAACTTATTGAAAAGCCTTAGATTTACTTACTGATTTTGAATAGCCGTGAAAACAACTGATTTCAAGTAGCCGTGAAAACAACTGATTTCTTTTAAAAATAATGTAATCGTATTTACAAATATTGAAAAATTAAAAAAAAATAAAAAAATTAAAATTAAAAAAATTAAAAATATTTAAAAATAAAAATTTTTAATTTAAGAAATAATTAAGAAAAAGGGATGCCAAGCGGATTCTAATTTACGATTTTTGAACATAAAAGTGGCTATAACTCGGAAACGGCTCATTTCCGGACCTATGTTTGTATGAACTTTTTTGCTTGTTTTTGGGTCCCGAATCACCTCCCGAAGTGGAGTAGGCAATTTTTTGGACACCCTGTATATATATAGAAAGCAATTAAAAAAACAACTACTCATCTTTAGCTTGTATTGCATATTTTAATTGATCAATTTTACAATTCTTGAATTCTATTTAAATTAAATATATTGACTAATATCTTTTAATCTTTTAATCTTAAATTAATAATAGTATTTACGAAAATATTAGTGTAATAAATTAAGAGATTGCATTTGTGTTTATCATATTGTATGTTTGGAATGTACGATGTATCATTTAAACCGAATATATGTTCTGTATATGTATATACATATATAGAACATATATAGAACATATATAGAACATACGATGATGTATATACATATGTATATACATATATAGAACATATATCTGGTTTAAATGATACATCGTACATTCCAAACATACAATATGATAAACACAAATGCAATCTCTTAATTTATTACACTAATATTTTCGTAAATACTATTATTAATTTAAGATTAAAAGATTAAAAGATATTAGTCAATATATTTAATTTAAATAGAATTCAAGAATTGTAAAATTGATCAATTAAAATATGCAATACAAGCTAAAGATGAGTAGTTGTTTTTTTAATTGCTTTCTAGATTTTAAATTAAAGTAAATGGAGTTAATAGCGATTCAGTTATAATTTTACGTACCTTTCAAGCTCCATAGTATTCGTTGATCGACTGCGTCTCGGAAATCTTTCAATTCCTTTCCACATGTTGAGTTGAGAATATCTGCCTTGGAAGCAATGGCATAAGCAGGATATGTACGAGTTAAATAGTGCTCGTATGTACGTGCTTCCTGAGTATGTACAGAGGCATACGCAGCTAAGGTCGTACAGATGCACAGAATATACTTAAGTTGCATTTTTGCTTATGCACTTTTGCTTCCTTATAGAGGATTTCTCGTTACCGTGATAAATATCTGCACACTGAAAAAAAAAGATGTTGTATCAACAGCATCAGTGTAATTGAAATAAAATTGGTTGATGCAACTTCAATATTAATGAACGAAATGCATCAGATAGTTGATTCATAATCCATGGTTTATACTTTGAACTTTAAACTTTAATATCGTCTAAATGGTTATATTTATGAAAACATAAGAGACCTTTTTTGTAGATCGTTAAATTTTCTACAAATACATGTATTTCTTATTTTATAATTGTTGATAGTCGATATGATACAACATTCATAAGAAGCAAAAACAAGTTTTATAAAATTTATCAAACTTTAACTTTGAATATCTTTTGAACGGCTGAATTTATGAAAAAATGATAAGAGATCTTTTTTGTAGAGCGGTAAATTTACTACAGAAAATCTATATGGCACAATGCTGTATTACTGTTTGTTGGATAGTTATAAAATTTTTTCTATCTTATTAAATAAAAAATAAAAAATTGCGATGAGCGACCTGTTAATATTAATATTAAGGGCTAAAATTTTAACAGGTATCTTATTTTACCTTCCTGCAAGTATATATGCTATTCGTGAAATGAAAAAAAAAGTTGCTCCAAAATGACACACCCTAAAATATATATATATATATATATACTATATATGTATATATATTTCTGTCAGGCGCTGGTGCTGACCGCAGGTCTCGCTGAGTTGCTAGTGAGGGTGATTCGTGGCACTTAGCGCGCACAAAATTTACTCGCGATTCTTTAGGTTGGCGAACAACAGAAAATTGTTTTTAATATAATAGTAAACGAAAACTGGGATGAGTATACGGACTCAAAAGTGAACTGTCTCGTGCCGGATTGGAAGTGTGTCCAAGTGCGTAAAGTCGCGATATTTATACAGAATTAAAGAGGCGGGATTATTTTTTAATATGATTTGATTGGTGGAGTTCTTTTCCGATCGTGACGTAACTATTTTTTGCGTAAGTGCAAATTTCTTCC